TCAAGACTGAGGAGATAGGAGGCAGAACAGCAATTACAGGCTTGATAAAATTTCACCTAAAACTTACCCAGTTTAACCAGCCCTCAGCTTTATCATTAATATGCCAGGCTTGTAAAGGTTTGTGGAGGAGTGCCACAGCCTGCTTGGGGAGCTTCAACCCTTTCTTCCTCCAGCGCGGCCGTGCTGGTTTGAGGTCGGGGTGACACCTCAGCGATAAGGCAGGCAATCCGAGAAGGAGGCAGATCTCTGTGGACCTGCTTTGATGGGATATTTGGCACTTGTTGCCCCGTTGTTCAGCTTCTACAGGGCTTGAAACGTGAAACCTGACGATAAATTCTTCACAAATAGGTCAGGAGCCAACCATTGCTCTGAGGATGCTTGGCGCTTGCCTCGCCTATGGACACAGCAGTCTGCAGCCAGTTTTCAGTCACTCTGCCTGCACCGGTGCAACAATATCTTACTAATATCTTACTAAACAAATGTTGGCCCTTCAAGAACTGAGAAGACTGTGAGCCAGCAGTGTGCTCAGGTAGCCAAGAAGGCCAACAGCATCCTGGCTTGTATAAGAAGCAGTGTGGCCAGCAGGGCTAAGGAGGTGATTGTCCCCCTGTACTCGGCTCTGGTGAGGCCGCACCTCGAGTACTGTGTTCAGTTTTGGGCCCCTCGCTACAAGAAGGACATCGAGGTGCTTGAGTGAGTCCAGAGAAGGGCGATGAAGCTGGTGAGGGGCCTGGAGAACAAGTCCTACGAGGAGCGGCTGAGGGAGCTGGGCTTGTTCAGCCTGGAGAAGAGGAGGCTCAGGGGTGACCTTATCGCTCTCTACAGATACCTTAAAGGAGGCTGTAGCAGAGGTGGGAGTTGGCCTGTTCTCCCACATGCCTGGTGACAGGACGAGGGGGAATGGGCTTAAGTTGCTGCCAGGGGAGTTTTAGGTTAGATGTTAGGAAGAACTTCTTTACCTGAAAGGGTTGTTAGGCACTGGAACAGGCTGCCCAGGGAAGTGGTGGAGTCACCATTCCTGGAAGTCTTAAAAGACGTTTAGATGTAGAGCTTAGGGATATGGTTTAGTGGGGACTGTTAGTGTTAGGTCAGAGGTTGGACTCGATGATCTTGAGGTCTCTTCCAACCTAGAAATCCTGCGATTCTGTGATTCTGTGATCTAAGTGGGATCGCTTCTCTCAGGCCCTCTCTCCTCCTGGCTTTTGCTCCTTGACTTTGAGTCACAGGCTTGGTCTGCAGATGTGAGGTGTGTGGGGAGCAGCGGCTATCGCCCCATGGTCAGGGCGTTTGCTGGGGGTTTGGCCATCTCCCATGATCTGGAGAAATAAGGAGGACCTGGGAGGAAGGCTTGGCCCCGCTGGTTAAGCAAGTATGGGAGGAAAGGAGGGCGCTGGGTGATCACTGGGCTTGCTACGGGGAGAAAATTAACCAGAAAAAAAGCGGCTCCGTGGCCGGGATGGGGCAGGCAGAGGGCTTTAAAGGGCAGGCAGCCTCCGGGAGTTGTGCCAAGGACGCGCAGGAAACGGGAGCCCAAAACCTGTGGCATTTTTCATTTCCCCTCCCCCTCTATTTTTTATTTTTATTTTTTAATTTCCTTGGGGGGGGGGGACGACGGCCTCCATTTTGGGGCGAGCGGCGGTGGCGGCGGCCGCCCCGCCTCCCGCCCTGCTCCCCGCGGGCTCCCCCAGGCGAGCGGCGCCGGGGCCGGCGGCAGAGCGGGGGCGGGAGCAGAGGAGGAGGAGGAGGAGGAGGAGGAGGGAGCGGAGCCGGCGGGAGGAGGAAGAGGAGGAGGAGGAGGAGGAGGAGGAAGGCGAGGAGGCTCCGCCGGGCGGCCGCCGGGCTTAAAGAGCGGCGCGGTGCGGTAAGCTGCCCGCTCTCGCTGCCCGCGGGTCTGGCGTGGGGGCGGCGGGCTGGGGCTGTGGCTGTGTGCGGGTGGGGGCGGCGATGTCGGGCTGGCTTTTATCTCCCCGCCGCTCCTAATTCTTATTTCTCTCCCCTTCTCCCCGATCACCCCCGCGGGGACCCAGCCCCGCTCGCCAGGTTAGGCGCGACCCGAGGGCAGCGGGCTCTCCCCCCCCCCCATACCCTATACCCCCACACCCCATCAGCTCCCCGCCGCCCCATGGCAGCCGGCGGCCGGTAACGGGGGGCCGGGCCCCGCCGCTGCCCTGTGCCCTGTGCCGGGCTGGGCTGAGGCACGGAGCGGCCCCCGCACGGCTCCCCCCGGCCGCATGGAGCCCGGGGCGGGAGGGTGATGCGGGGCCCGGCCGGCAGCATGGCCGCCCAGCGGCTTAACGGCACGGCGGGGAAGGACGCCCGGCTGAGGGAGCTGGTGGCGGACGGAGGTACCCCCGGGCGTGCTAAGGGGTTTTTGGGGGGGTTTTGGGGGAGAAGAGACCCCCCCGGGGCTCGCCGTGGGGCAGGAGGGGTCGGGGGGCGCCGGGGAAGGGGTGCGGGGGGCGGTGCGGGACCCCTCGCACTAGGGGGGTTGGTGGGGGACGGAGCCGTGAGTGCCCTGACAGGGCAATTCCCCGCTTGCTTTTTTCCCTTTTGAAGGCGTTTTCGTGAACTCTGCCCTTTTTTTTCGTGCTCTGTGAGGAAAAATCCCCCCCTCCCCACATCACACACACAGAGAAAAGAAACCCGGCGTAAGTGCCACAGCCTGCACACAGCGGGAGGTGAAGCCGCCTCGCACCCCAACCCTCTCCCCCAGCTTTATTGGTGGAAAAAGCCCTTATTAGGAAAAAAATATATATTTCTGGGAGGTAGTGCCGGGGCTGTGAGGGCTGTTAGACACCCCACACGTGTGGCAGGGGGCGAGGGACCCAAGTGACTGAGTGCCCTGAGCGGTGCCAGCCAACAGAGACGGCTCCTGCCCGCCTCTCTTCGCTCCTTCTCCTCTCCTCACAATAACCCAGCTGGAGGAAGAAGAGGGTGAGCCCGTCCTCCCCTCCTCCCGGACGTCAGCAGGATGCTTGGTTGCGTTTCCGTGCTGGCGGGGCAGCGCTGAACTTGGAAAATCCTCCTGCGACTCCAACACACGGCCGAGGTTTAGCCCAGCGTCCCCAGCGATTCCTCCCCTCGCCGAAGGGAAACGCTGATGGCCCTGAGCCCCGATTTCCAAGGGAGAGGTGCTGTCCCCCGCTGCCGAAACGCTGGGAGCTCGATAAATTTAGAAGGCTCTGCCCTTGGCAGATGCAGAAGCAGCGTGTCAGTCCAGTGATCTTTGCATTCTAGGAAAGCCTAAATCAACATTGCTGGCTTCGCGTGTTGCCCTTTAGCAGCAGTCCCTCAACTTCCAGTCCAAAGGATTGCGTTGGACCCAAGCGGGGAATAAAAGGGTTTGGGGTACAGAAGCCCTTTGGTGCTCGGTAGCCGGAGAAGCTGAATTGCAGCGGTTGTCGGCAGTGGCAAGCCTGTATTCTGCGCTTTTGAGCCAGGAAAAAATGATTTTGTAGTTCAACACTATTTTGGGGGGTCGCTTTTAATTGATTCCCGTGCTTCCTGCCTTTGGATCTCTTGGTGGTGACACCTCTGGTGACTCAGGAAAAAAAGTGGCCATTGCTGATGTGGGGCTGGTGGCAAAAGCAGAGCAAAGTGCTGACTAAGGGAACATCTGTAAGTCGTGGTGGTGGTCACGCTGTTTGCAAGGAGCCCGAGAATAAGGAAACCGCCTTGGGGTTTCCCTCAGCTCTGCCACAGGTGGTTTTGCATTTTGTGCGTGAAGGACGTTTTTCTAGCTCGGCTTCACAGTGGTGTTTGCGTAAGCTTCGGCTACTGGTATTGCACAGGAGGGTGAGGATGACTACAAATGAAAGAGATATGATAAGAGAGAACAGGCTTGTTTCTCTGTTTGCTTTGGCTTTATTTTTCTTTTTTTCTGGTATCTTTCTTTTCTCCTTGGCCTTTTGAAACAGGGATTTGATAGCGGTTCCCCCAAATTCACTGTTTTGGTGCCCAAAAGCAGGGTCGTTTTTGCCAAGCGCTGAGAACTGAGTAACTCTCCTGCTGCTTTGCTTCCTACCTGCGTGACAACCGGGGACCTCCTCCCGGTGACTGGAGTTGTCTCTCAAGATGAGAGCATCCCCGGCGAGCAGCGCAGTTTCCATAGAAATACCTACGACTGTGTAACTTCCAAAGGGCGATTTCTTCCCTTACATTGCTCATCCGTGCTGCTCCAGGAGAGCTGGAAGGGTGCAAGAGTGGCCGCGAGCGACTCGTCTCTAAATATACTCAGTATTTGTGCAGAGGTGGGACTTCTGATAAGGTGATGGGCTCTGACGGCGCTCATTGTAATCGGATCTCGTGTGACAGCCAAGACCCTGGTTTCTTTTTAGCCATGGTGGAACATGTCTTGGTTTTGAGTACCAGAACTCTTTTTTTATCCGTTTAGCTGAATGGGAGTGTCCTGGAAAAGTTAATTTTACTCTAGTTGGAGAGAAGTAAGTAATTAAAGAAGGCACTTGGTGTAGATCCAAAAGGAGAAAAAGGCTGTTTGCAGCTTGACTTAGGTCTTCACGCGATTTAGCTGATAAAAATGAAGAAAAGTTTTCCCTCCTGTAGTCTTCCTGATTTTTTTTTGTTTTGTTGTTTGAGTCCAGCAGCAGAATAGCAATCACTGAAGCACTAGGTACAGTGTCCCGAGTCCTCTCTCCAGGACTTCTGGCCTCTACTGGTGTCGCAGGTGGCTCTTAAAATAAGTTTTGTTCTTTGTTGCCCAACGGAATTGTTCATGCTGAAGAATTTATTCCTGTAAAGGAAGCGGCGAAGGATCACCGAGAAGTTTCTCAACTTAGACCTGACCTGTAGTCACTCATACTGATTGATTAGCAATGCCAAAGAGTGAAACATTTCATACTTTATAGGATGTCATTTTCTTTGCAAAACTTTGCAAGGCGGACAGCATCAGTTCTGATGAAATACCGAGTGTTTTTGGGTTGTTCATTGATGAATTACATTATGACTGACTTTTTTCTTTCTTTTTCTCTTCTTTGTTTTAGCTGAACTGGAGTTTGTTCAGATCATCATTATAATTGTGGTTATAACTGTTATGGTGGTAGTGATCATCTGCTTGTTGAACCATTACAAACTCTCGACACGCTCTTTCATCAACCGGCAGAGCCAGAGCAGAAGACAGGAAGAAACTCTGCAGACGGTGAGTATGAACGAACCCTTCCACCAAATCCCTTTTCCTCGTGTTGTACTTGTCTGCATCCCGAGCCTGCAGAGAGGCTCTGATAGCACAACTCTTTGAAAAACTTCCAATGTTAGTTTCAGTACTTCCTAGAGTTAGCTCTGTTGCTGCCCTTGGATTTGTCAGTGGCAAAAAATGAGAATGGAAATTTAAAATTGACTGCCTCTGAGTATTCTTAGACCCTGCTATGCCCTACGTAGCGTGTTTCATCTTGTGTTTGGAAGTTCAGGTGTTCAGGTGTTCAGCTGCTGCTGCTGTGGTGTGAGGGGAAATGGAAGGAGAGTAAATGGAGATCACCTGGGGTATGAAGAATTGACATTTGTGTTGTGACTTTTTAGATACTTACTAATATCTTGGAGTTTTACCGCTGTTACTGCTTTGTGAAGCTGCAGTGACAGTTTGCTGGATCCAAAACACTAGACCAGTAGGTGCCCAGGAGAACGTCGTGTTTATGTTTCATTCGAGCAGCAAGAAAATACGAGGAAAGTGATCCTTCTCAGGGGCCTGGAGTGGCTAAGATGTCTTGTTAGAGAGCCAGAGGCTGAAGGCTGAATCTCCATCCAGCTTTTCCAAGGCTGTCCCAAGTTGACCCAGCAGTAAGGGGGCTCGTGACTTGCCTCGGGAGCCAGAAGTTTGCTGGGTGGGATGTGCTGGGTGCAGCTTTGTCTCACCCTTCTTTCCGTCCTGGTTGTGTGTTTCAAGCTCCTTCTTTGTGCTCCGTATCACAGGGGTGTGATGAGGTGCTTCAGGGAGCTAATCTGGCTGAAAACCAGTTGCTTTTTAACACGTTTTTGCTGAGGTGACTCTTACACCTTGGAGGCTGTGCAGGAAAGAGAGGAGCCATCTCCTCGAGAGGAGGCAGCCCTGGTGCCCATCGTTCTGATAACCAGGAGCTCTAACTTAGTTACAGATGAAACTACAGCTTGTGAAACCGTAACCTTGTGGACTTCTGGGCTGGAAACACTGCCTAGATTAATTTGAGAGGTTTTTTTTGAAAATTTTTGAAATGGACACACTAATTTAAGAACCACGCTTCTGTCTGAAAAGTGTTAACTATAATTGCTACGAGGAGCTCAAATGACATGATTTGAGATAAAGGCAACGCATTTTCATCTTCACAAATCTTTTAAAATGGCAGCGAGCTGTCAAATGCATGAAGAAACCCATTATTTCCTGCGCATGGTTCGTTAGTATTGTCTGTTATTAGAGCGAGTGGTGCCTTCTCTCTTGGAAGCCAGGGAGGAAACACCATCTTCCTGCAAATAAGGATGTCGGATTTGACACTGGGGACTCGGAGCCCTGCTGTAGTATCCAAAACTGCTCTTAAATCATTTTTAAAACACTGACCCAGTTTCGGTTTGATGGCAACCTTGTAAGTACTGATAATCATAGTTGAGTGAGGGCTTCGTAGGAATTGGTAATTGGTTGGCAAGAAGTGGTTACTAATTCTTCCGAAAACTGTCTGGTGTGGGTTTGTCATCGCTGTTACTCATCTTGGTTTCTGATAAGCCGAAGCCATTCTTAAAAAAAGGTCAGATGCGCGGGGCAGAGCCCTGTGGCAGTCTCTGAGGTCAGACATCGACTATTTTTGAATTTTCCTTTGTCTTAAGCATCAGAAGGAAATGCTGGTGGAAACCAGCCGCGCTCTGTTTGCAGCACAAGCCGTAGAAGCAGCGCGTGGGGCGTGAGGAGCAGGGAACGGACGTGGCTTTTTTGGTGATGTGAAACTGGAAATGACCAGTCCCGTCTCGCTGTCCCAAGCGGAGTGGATTGCAGAAGGTGAACAGGCAGCGCGTGCTGCGAGGCACAGGGTGGATTGTGCCTTGTGAAATACATCTGCCTTTTAACCAGGCAGGCTCGGTCTGTGTGCTGATGGGAAGTGGGTTTTCTTCCAAGGGAACAGGCTTCTTGTGGCGTGCAGGCTCTGAAAATGGATTTAAATGTGTATTAACCACTAATGCGTAGAGAGAATGTCATTCTGACTCAGGCCTTTTGTCGGCAGAGAAACGGTGAGCGAAAACAGGGGAAGTTCCGCAGTATTTTGTAAACCAAACCAGTAAATGAACTGGCTGGTTCCTGCAGGGAACTGTGAAGAGAAACCACCCCCACCTGACCGAGGTTGCAGAGGTGTAGCGAGAGACAGGATCTGCCCTTTCTTACTCAGATGGGCCTTTTTTGGTTGTTTGTTTCTTTTTTTGTTTGTTTGTCCCTCTCCATGCCTGTGCTACGTTCAGCTCTGTGCCTTTTCCTCAGGCCCGTCCTGTTTCTGGATGAGGGTGCCCTCCAACAGCTGAGCTGCAGCTGCCCTGAACACCAGCTCGCCCACTGCCAATCTCCCTTATTCTGCTTCTTTTTATAAGAGGCAGAATATTAAATATTAAATATTTATTTACAGCCTCACACCTGTAAAACTTGTGGGGTCAGGCCTCTGAAATAACGAAATGCAATGTGTGTTTACATGCTTGTGTGTTTCTTCTTTGTCTGGCTGAACTTTTTTTTTTTTATTAAAAAAAAAAAAAAAAAAAAAGACTAGAGGTTGAAATTCTCATTGTCCAGAAATCAGAGTATTAAAAGAAGATGAAACATCACCAGAATCCCAAGTGTGAGCAACACTTGAAGGGCAGAAAAGATTTTCTGATCCCAGAAAATCTGCGAGTTGGTCTTCAACGACTTCATGCTGTTGCATCCTTGTTCTGTAACCAGTGCTTTTCTGCGTGCCCATCATTTCCACTCTAAATTTTTGGTTTTTCTTTTCTGTTTTCCCCTCCTTTTTATCCCTTCTGGGGTCTTTATTACCATGATTAGTGTGCTGAGGCCTTAAACCCTGAGGGCACAGAAATACTGGGTTTTCCTGTCGTGGTGCTGCTGAGGAGGCTGCTTCAGCCTCCCAGGGCAAGCCCCCCGCCTCCTGGTGTGGCTCTTAAAACATACAAACCCTTAAAACACACAGCGTGCGTTTGGCAGCGTTTCACCACGGGTGTAATACCAGCAGAAATTCAGGTCTGGGGGAGACAGCATCTAGGAGGTCTGCAGGTAGGGCTAGAAGCGAGGAGCACCAGCTCCTGGTGGCTACTGACTCGTTGTGGCACCTTTGGGCAGCTTGCTTCATCTCCAAATCAAGGAGGACGCATAATCACGTCTATTTCCTTCGCTGCCATGAAATGAAGATTATTTCGCGTGGCAAAGTGCTGTGGGGTTGGGGAAATAAGGACTTTAAAGCATCAAGTAACAGAAATAACCGCTGGAAGTGTCAGGAGGCAGAGTAAGAGTGAGAGTTCTGACTCCGTAATTACCTCTCGTGAACTTCTTGTTGGTGCTGTGCCATTTATTCTGCAAGGTGCTGTAACCTTTCCTGCCCTTGGGGGAAAAAAAACTTATAAAGGAAGGAGAGGCCTTGCTCGTGTCGTTCTGCTAGGGACAAGGCAGTAGCTTCTCCCCCCTCATGTCTGGGAGGGAGAGCTTTGTGAACTGCAGAGCTGGGATGCTCTGCATCAACTGAGAAGGGGCAGGGCAGGGAGGAACGGGCCTGTGGGTGTTCTTGGAGTAGGGCACTGATGAAATGTGCTGTAATATGTCACTGCCACCTAGGGCCAACATCGGAAACTACACTGCCACTTGAAACACTTCACCTGCAAAAAAAAAAAAAAAAGAGATAGGGGTATTATTTTATATATATAAGTGTAAAATTATATACGTAAAATTTGAGTTTAGTTAGGGGGAAGAGAGTGACCCTCTTAATACCCATAAATGCATTTCAGAGAGTGAAGACCTGACTTTTGTTTCCCAGGAAGTACCATTTCAGGCAGAGCTCTAGTTGTTAAAAACTAAAAAGTGGAAAAAAAAACCACAAAGCCACTCCTTAAGGGAGTCAGTAAATAAGCAAATTTGTGATTGTAGGGATTGTTCTTGCTTCATTACAGCCTGAGGAGTTTTTCTAACTGAGCATGCATTCTTACCTGAAATGAGTCTTGAGTTGTTAAATCTTCCAGTAAGTTTCTTTCCTCCCATCTGTCGGTGTGCTGATGCTGAACCACGGAGGCTGGATGACAGCGTGTGCTCCTCCAGGAAGCTCAGTGATTAAAAAGTGGCCTTGGGAAGCCGTCTTCCTAAACTGTTTGAATCCAGAGGCTGTAAATCTTTGTAAAACATAAATGAAGCAAGTTATCGTGGGTTTATCCAGTCTCCTAAGTTCTAAACATTGACGTAAATGACCATTACCACGAGATAATTAAGTAATCGCCCAGCTGGATTTATTAAATGGCGCTGTTATTTCCAGACCTAATCACAACATTCGTTTCTGTACGTTGTCATGAAACCCAGGAGCAGCTAAGGGCAGCGAAAGACGTAGCTGCAGCCGTCAGACCTCGCTTGCTCTGGCGTTATTTGTAGGAGCTGGGATTTACCACGAAGACTCGTAGCAAAACTTCTGTAGCATTTCAGGGCAGGATTCAGCTTCAATGTCTTCAGTTTTTATTGATTTCCTGGATTTACTCTTAGCTGTTGGACATGATATTAAGCATAAATGATTTTCCTGTTTTGTAGTATCCTTCAAATATATAAATATAAACCCCACAGAACCATTTATAATTAAGCACTGGCATGTTTTTTGCTGTCTGCCCCCTTTCTGTCCTGGTCATCCCCCAGAAAATCCCCAGGAAGGTGGTAGCTGCAGGTGGGCTGTGGGACACACCGTCACAGGGGCTGTTGTTGCACATCCTCGCATCCTCAGCATCTCAGAGGTACACAGCACCTCCAGTCCCTGTCAGGCTGCTTCTGTTTCCAGGGCTGTTTCATAGCTCTGGGTGCTGAGGCACAGCACCCAGGTCCTGCTCCCTCTCGGCGTGGGGAGCAGCTACACGCTGTCCTACAAGCCATGGTTGGAAGGAACCTGCTGTGGGGCTGCATGGGAGGTGTAGTTCATGGGCTGTTAGTTGGGCACTTTAGCTCTGACTAACAGATTTTACTTCAGTACAACAAATTTGGAGCCTGCTTGGCCAGCCACTGATAACTTGGTTGTCTTTAATTGCGCAGATACAACCTCGGCTATTTCAGAATGAGGGCATCTGGGTGATGGAGAGGTGGAAAGGAAGGTGGACACTCATAATTTGAGCCACTACCGTTACATAGTTATAATTTCTGCAGTTGACAAAATCTTTTATAGCCACTGAAGCATACGAACCTACCCAGGATTTGTCCTTGATATCAGGCCTTTGTGAGTGGGGACGCTTGCAAAAGGAAGTTGTAAATAATTGCGATTGTCAGCCTTCTATATCTGCTCTCTGAAGCTCCAGAAGAGAAGTGATTGACCAGCTTTGTTATTCGAAGCATTTCCCTTAACAGCTGAATCCTGTGGGAGATTCCTCTCAGAGCAGCTTTCCTCTGTGCTGGACTCTCCTGACAAGATCACAGACGGCTTTTGGTCTCTGAGAGCCGTGCTGAACATCCAGTTAGGTCTATTTTTACATCTGAAGTATGTTCAAAGATGCTGTGGTGAGAAAAAGCGGTACGGTAGGATTTGAGGGTAGGCTATACAGGGTAATGCTTTTGGGGGCAGCGTGCTTTTTCTTTCCTGTTCCTGAAGTTTCTTGTCTGTAACATCAGGAAACTTTACTTAGCACCAAGACAATGCTCATGACCAGATAATTGATTTTTTTTTTCACTAAGACTGTAATTCTGTCCTTTATAGTCCCTCTGAGGTGCCCTTTTCAGCTTTGAAATTTTCCGATAAGATAAATGAATTGCAGTGGTTATTGTGACTCTAAAAATTAATTGAGAAGAAAAAAAAAAAAAACACAATATACCTGAAGCTATTTTCCCCATATTCACAATTTTTTCTTTGCCCTTTTATTCTGCCCTGGATGTTGGTATGGTATCAGAACAGACTTCTAGGGCATGAGGGAAAAAATGCTTTGGCCTGAGAAGGTGGCTGAAGGGGGGAACCGGTGGCTGAAACCTCAGTGCTTTCATTGCCGCAGGGAATTAGGCAATGGGCAGGTTTGACCAGGATTGTCCTGGGTTTAGGGTGAACGTCACTTCACGACGTTGCAGACATCAGGTTTTGTTCTGAACTGTTCTGACTCCTGCGTGTGATCTGGATCCTCGCCGCCAAGACGAGCCTCGTCCTACCTCCCTATAGCTGCCCGTGCTGGCGTGGCCGCGCCGCCGGCTGGGAGGTGATGGGTACCAGCTCGGCACCTTCCTGACACGCTGAGCTTGGCTGGGTGGGGGGCAGAGCTGCTGCCTGCTCTGCTTCTCAGAAAGAAGGAGTGGGGCTTGTCCAGGTGTGGATAACCAGTCGTTAGAAGCTGGCTGCTCGGGGAGAGTTTTGGTGTCGAGTTAGGATTGTGTGTGATCTGTTGATTTCTCTCATTTGTTGTTTCCTTTTACATTCCAGGAAGGGTGCTTGTGGCCTTCAGAAAGCTCGGTGTCGCGCCAGGGTGCTTCAGAGGTAAAGTCGGATTTCTTACTGTCTTTGGTGATGTGCTTTCCTCCTTTTTGTTACATATATTTGTCTCCCCTCAAAACTTACTCAGTAAATTATGCCTTTTCAGTGTAGATCAAGAGATCTGGTCAGCCTGTTGCTCTTCCCCCCGTATTTTTCCCAAATTTACAGCAAATGCTCTGTTACCAGTGTTTCTGTCTTCTGGCTAGCCACAGACACTGCCACTCGTAGTCCTGAGTGGTGACACAGCTCTCCTGTGTCAAACCGAATCTTCCTGATAGCTGACACTGCATGTGTGGGGTCAGGGGATGAAGACCCTGCGTGGACCCAGAAACGAAAAGAGCAACTGGATAGATCTGGGTCTGAGAAGCTGGTGTGTCTGTCCAGATTTGGAACAGATAGCTCCTCACAGAGTATCCCAAACTTCCTCTTGTAAATCCTGACCTTCTCCAGTGCTTAATGTGCCAGAGGCATTTTTTCCACACCCAGAGCCCCCTGGAGGTTGAGGTCTGGCTGAGAACTGAGGGGGTGGAGGACACCTGATCTGCTCGTGTGGTGAAGGCGTGAGATATGCTGGACCTCCACAAAATGTACTTAAAACTGAAATTCCTTGATAATGAAGGGGGTTACTTTAACTTGGAGTAGGAGGGGGAGGCTCGAGCTGCAGCTGAAGTTCAGCATTGGGGCATTTCATTTTCTTGGAACTAATTAATTGTGAAGATCAGAGAGAGAAATAATTTCAAGTGTTAACTCTGTACAGCAGCAGGATTGTCTGATCTCGGCTCTGCGTGCTGTAATGTCAGAAGGAGCCGTGTAGGATCTTGGCCTTCCTTTGTGAAACTGCTCTCAAGTATCTCATGTTAGATCCTTCCTGCAACTCCTACCCCTTTTGTCACATGCACGCACGTGGGAGCACGCTATCTGCTGGATGAAACCTCTGAGCTAGGTGACAAAGAGCAGCATTTTCCATGTTACCACTTCTTCTGCAGGTGGGAGGACCCGCAGTGCTTTGCTCAGCCCCGTCTCTCTCTCTTCCTGTTGCAGATCATGTACGCTCCGAGGTCCAGGGACAGGTTCACCGCCCCATCCTTCATGCAGCGGGACCGTTTCAGTCGCTTCCAGCCCACGTACCCCTACATGCAGCACGAGATCGACCTCCCTCCCACCATTTCCCTCTCGGACGGGGAAGAGCCGCCGCCCTACCAGGGCCCGTGCACCCTGCAGCTCCGGGACCCAGAGCAGCAGATGGAGCTCAACCGGGAGTCCGTCAGGGCGCCGCCCAACCGAACCATTTTTGATAGCGACTTGATAGACATCTCGATGTACAATGGGGGCCCCTGCCCACCGAGCAGCAATTCGGGCATAAGTGCAACCAACTACAGCAGCAACGGAAGGATGGAAGGACCACCCCCGACGTACAGCGAGGTCATGGGGCACTACCCCGGCTCCTCTTTTTTCCATCACCAGCACAGCAACGCGCCTCCTCCCTCGCAGAGGGGGAGCAGACTTCAGTTTCAGCAGAACAATTCAGAGAGCACAATTGTCCCCAGCAAAGGCCAGGAGCGGAAAGCAGGGAACCTGGTCTGAGTCACTCGCCCGGGTGCGTTCGAACTGAAGACGAGAGAGATCCAAGCAGGGCGGCGGAGGAAGACCCCCGTGCTCCGGTGCACAATGTTGTTACATTTCACGTGGTACAACTTAGTAAAACCAAACGTGCAAACCAGTTCTTTGTTTCTGATTCCTTTCAGGGGAATTGCATGCAAAGCAGACCGAAAGAAATACAAACTTCCATTCAGTTTGTCTACGAGCAGTGTTTCAGGGGAGGGGGGGGATATATTATTTTTTTTTAATAAACTATTTCAATTATTTAATTCTAAAAGGAAACTTAGCACAGAAATGAGGCTTGTGTAGCCTGTTTTATACTCACTGAATGGCAGAAAGAAGAAGAAGGTTTTGCTAGATAAATGGGGGAAGAATTGGCCAGTTTGCTTTTTTTTTTCTCCCAGGGTGTGCATTTTTTTTTAAATATGAATCAAAATTCCTGTTTTGTGTGCCAAGGTATAAAGTTGAGAACTTAGATGAATGCAAGGAATTAATTTGTGTTGTGATAAATGTGTTTTAAAAAGTTGCACTATCTTAATGTTTTAAAAAAAATATATATGAGGGAACTGTTTTATGTGAAGTTCTTCTATATGTTGTCTTTTCACCTGTGGAATAATGATTGAGCCCCAGAAGTGATCTGGAGGAGTTTGCCCCCCTCCCCCCAGCTTTGCTTAGAAAAAGGGGACAGGACTTAGCCTAACATCCCTTGACTTACCCAAATCGAGAAGTACAGGGACACTTCACTTGTTGTCTTTGCAATAATTTGCATTCACGTAACAGCGCGTCAACGAAAGTGTCTTGGAGACTTTTGGATGGAAGAAGGCAAATGTGACATCCCAGCATTTTCCATCACTTAGGGTTTAGCTATTTTGCAGTTTAGACTCTTTGTTTCGTAAAAGGCAAAAACAAAAGCCCAGATGTGTTGATTTGTATCGGTTCTAACCAAGTGCTGCCGTTCTTTTCCTTCTCATAACGCAGTATCACCAGTACTCAAGGTTTTAGAGATTTTTTTGTCCTCACTGTAGCCTGAAGTGTATCTAGTCACATATCATGACATTATGCAATAAATTGTTTAAAAATGCAAGGTGGGTTTTCTCCCCTGCAATGCTGTTGAAATATGTGAGACTCTGTTGTGCTTTCCGCTCTCCGTTGCCATCTTCTAGATCCCGAAATTCAGGCCTGCAGATCCAGCCTGCTGATGTGGCGACGGCGGTGCTGCCTTCTGCAGCATCCCTGCCAGCGACGGATGGAGGGTGCCCACGTGTTGGCTAAGCGTCTGTAAGCCCTGGTGTTGTCGTGCCGGTCGTAAAAGCAGTTGGAAGATTTTTACCTGCTGGTGAAGCCGTGTGCGGGGTGCTTCTTCCCCTGGCTGGCTCTGTGTGGGAGCAAACGCGGCGCTGGCAGGCGGCTGAATGGTGATGGTGGCAGCACAAGCACATGAAAAAGCACAACTTGCACTTAAAATGCATTTCGGAAATGGACTTAAAAGTAAGAACCTGTAGAGTCTCTAGTTTGCATAGTTTCTAATATATATATGTGTGTGTGTGTGTGTGCGTGCGTCGCAGACTCTTCACTTTAAGATCTCACCTTCCCCGCTCCCGAAGCCTTTGCTCGGTGGCCGGCAGCGGGCAGGAGCTGGCACCTGAAGGCTCTGGCACCTGAAGCGAGTCTTTGATCTATGCAGAGTTTTGATGCCAAAACAGAGCGCGTGTCGTTGTGTGTGCGTGTCTTACGGGCCTCGGCGTGGATCGTTTCCTTCATGAGCTGGCTGGGTTTTGTGCTGGGTTAGAATTGGCCGAACTGTGAGCCTGGGCGTGCAGCCTCGCTTGTCGCCATCGTTGTTCCTTGGTCTGAGTCACCCCAGTAATGCTGCCTCTTAGTTTAGGTGTTATTTCCTGGGAGAGGCTATGAAGGGACTCGTTTTTCCATGCTCAGCCCCACAGGACGGGTGTTCAGGAGACGACTGGGTGGCTGTCAGGCAGCTGGGGCTCTCGTCGCACCTAGTTCCTGGGAATAAAAGCTGTTCAATTAGTTTTTTTTGTGGATAACCGATGAACATAATCCATTAGGTAAATCAAGCAAACAGAAAGCGAACTTAGGAAATGTTAGCTTTGGTCTTCAGTGACTTTTGTTTTCCCGTGGAAGTGAGCTGTTGGCCAGACGATGCTTGTGCCTACTCGGACCCCTTGCTGTTGCCTCGGTGTGAGTTATTTAGCCGAAAAACCATTAGGTGAGAACAGCTGGAGCTCGGTCATCGTGGCTGAGCACCCCTCGATACCAACTTCTACTCACGTGCAGATCTCACAGAAGTGAGCCTTGAAGTTACCTTCAAAGTCACCTCTGGGGAATGTGCCTGCTTTGAAGACAGCCCTTGGCTGTCTTTTAAGCACTTCCCATTCGTGTTCCTGGGTATGATGCATGCATGGTTGTCTCAATTTTTCTTGTCCGAGGAAGTTTTCCTGTGTGTGGAAAATGGGAGCTGTATTAAAAAAAAAATCGTAGAAAGGAACTTAATGTATGCCCAGCTCATGGTTGTGTTTCTGCCTCCATCTGTCTTCTCCTCATGTTTCGCTGTCCAAAGCTCACGTGCAGCCAGGTGTTCCCAGCAGCAATGGAAGTGTAGTCCCTGGTGCTTGCTGCAGGTGAGCTTGCCATCCGCTGCTTTTGTTTGGGGGCCTCTTCTGGGTGCAAATACAACGTTTTTGAATGAATATTAGTGATCTTTGATGGGAGTCCCAGCTACAGGATAACGTTACAGAAGGGCGTGCTCGTTTTTGTTGTAGTGAGAGAGAATATGCCCCAGAACAGTAAAATAAAGGACTATAAAAATTAAATAGATATCACTATTGATCTTCACAGGCTTAGGAGTGGGTGTCCTCTGAACGCAGGTAATGCTGCACAGCGTTTGTGGAAAATTCCACTTGAGAATATCCAGCATCAGTGAAAGTGCTCCACAGCCACTCAAAGGCAGCCTCGTGAATTATTAAAGAGTTCAGGAAGCGCTGCAGAGTTAACCGGGTGGATTATACTTCCATGCTGGTGTTGTGTTTTACGTGCATCATGCGCATAAGCACACAATGCCTGGGTGGTTTTTTCTAAAAGCCTGAATTTTGGTTGTCTCGCCTGGTCTTTGCTCAGTATTGCCCCAAATTCACTCCAGTCTCCTCGCTTCAGAAATTTTCGGGCTAAAAGGCTTATTTTTTTAAACATACCTCTAAGAAATAAAGCATTATGACTTCTCTTACCTACCACAAAGGTTGCTTCTTCCCTGAAGTGGCTTGGCAGGGGTCCGTGTGTGGTGCTAAACGTGCCCCATCTGCAGCGTGTTCTCCTGTGATCCTGCAGGGCTGGGAAAGGCAGGGTGCAGCCGTCACAAAGAGGTTTCTCCCTGCCACTAAGCTCTACTCCTGGGTGTACGCTTGGCCTGGTTGTGCTTGGGTTCGTTGCAATGCTGTGCCATCAGGCTCTTTGTACGTGAAGTCGCCTTAAAGATATGAATGAGGAATACGAAAAGTAGTGCCCGTTCAGGTCCCTTCTCAGTCGTGCGTGTGGCACACGCAGGATTCACGGTACTTGGATGAAAGTGAGGAAAGCATTCACGCTCCTGCAGTCGTGGCGTCTGCAGGAACCATGGGTTGAGTGGTGCCTTTTTATTTTTTTTTTAATTGCTTTCCCCACTTCTCCCACCAGCTGGCAGCTGCTTCTGCCGTCCCGAATCTCTGAATTTGTGTGTTGCAGAAATAAAAAATAATAATAATAATACAAAAAAGCCACTGAGATCTTTTTTTTTTTTTTTTTTTTTTTTTTCCCCTTATGAATGTGGTTCAGGGAAGAGCAGGGAGTGGGCTGACATCATTTCTGGAGGAAGGCGCTTTCGTTGCGAAGTGAAGGGGAAGGAAGGTGTGTCTTGCTAAAAGATGCTGTGTGTAGGCTGAATGGCTTTGCCTGGAGCCCCGCTTCTAACCCTGCTGCTGGGTAACGAGCTGCCGGGCCTTCAGACCAGCACCCTGCTCTGTAGGTTTGTGTTCTGGAGAAGGTGCATGGCTTGCTTCTTGCTGACTCCGAGCCCTGCACGCCCATTGTAGCCAAGGTAACCTGGTTTCACAGGCAAAGAAAAAGAAAGTGGTGTGCTGGTGAAAGATGATGTTCTAAAATTGCAATTTTTTTCCCCCAAGGTTAAACAATACGCTTGCTGGTACCCTTAAAGATATTTAGGATTGTCCCCAGGTTCTCTCTGGTCATTACCATTGAGTTGTGTCCATTTGCGTGTGTTTATACATACCTGCATGGAAAATTGTGCCTCCGTCCTATCTGTTGATAATCTTCGTATTAGTTACTATTCCGCGATCACCTTTCAGAAATGCTAGGTGGCATTGTGCTCTCAGGAACCATGGCAGGTCTTTTGTCAAACAGCTGGAGGCGTGAGGAGTATTTGGTCCTTGCTCCTGTGAATGTCACGCCCCGTTTTTAGCAGTTGAGGAGTTTTGCTGTGCAAATTCTTCCCTGTGGCCTAGCGCGACAGTGCATCTTCCATCCAACAGCTCTCTTATTTTTTTTTTTTTTTTTAGGCTGGGCTTTGGGAAGTCCTCTTGCTTTTGGGACAACACAAACGTAGACCTCGTTGTAATCACGTGCACAAAGCAAACGTACTTCACGTAGCCCTGAAATCTCAGAAGCGTGTTGTTTCAGACCTGGCTGATGCTAAGAACGAAGTGATGGCTGGTGGGCTCAGGTGAAGGTTGGCTTTTGATTACATCTTTGCTTTTTAGGTAAATGCTGTTATAAAGAACTTAGTTACACATAAATGGCTTGTGTTGCCTGCTTGCCAGCCAGCGTGATTACAGCTGTTCTTCTAAACTAGCCCCAAATGTGTCAATTGTTTTAAATCCCTGGCAAGAGGGACTCTTACAGAACTGTCTGAGACCCGCTGAGGTCCTGTTGTAGAACCTTGTGAGGATGTGTTGGACTTACAGAGGTTTCCTGGCCGAACTCTCTGAATTTCCTCTCTTCTGTATGTTTCATTAGGAAACTGAAGCTTAAAGTTCTGGGAATGGCCAGGCTGAAAAGGTTGGTTGGTAGGACTTTTTTGTACGTAATAGTTTGCCAGTCTGTGCTTGCTAATCAGGGGTGCGGGTTGCCTTCAGCCCCACCTCTGGTTCCATTGCTACGCTGGCAAAAGCCCCATTGGGCGCACTTACACCAGCAAAATAAATAAATAGATGTCCTTTTATTGGTACAGCTCCACTTGGGGAATTCACAGGAGCTGCACCACCACGTTCAGCCCCCGTGAGCAGCGTTGGACCCCTGTTGCCTCTTCCCAGCCAACTCTTTCAAGTGTTGATGGCTCCGCGTGGATGAGGTGCTTTGCCACATGGGTGAGCGCCCCAGGCACACGGTGTAGGAGTCTGCTGGAGCTCCCTTGAAAGAGTTGCCGGAATCGGCATTGAATATATGTCAGGGCCACTGCATTTCTCCTGCTTTCAAAGGGAAAACAGCACGATTTTGTATCGAGACATGTTGCAAACTCTCCTGGCTTTTACTTCTGCCTTGCTGTAGTCTCCCCGTTCCAGTTTCAGACTGAACAAAAGCAACCGGGCATTGCTGGTACTGCTTCAGCGCGAAAAGAGCTTGCCTTTTTTTTTTTGTTTTTTGTTGGTTATCAACACAGAAACAAACTCGAAACCTAGAAACTTCCCCTTCCCTCCGACAGCCCCCCTCTGTGTGATTTACTGCCAGAGATGACTCTGTCATTTCTTTGCTGTATTGCTGCTGCTGCTGCTGCTATTTTACCTGGTTTGGTATGTGAGCTTTCTGACACGGTGTGGTATGTGTAGGATCTTGTGGGTGACGAAGCTGTCTCTTTTCTTCCTTTCTCTCCTTGGTTCGTGCTTGTCTGTCTGCTGTGGTAGGGTTATTAATAAATTATCGACGTACGTGCTAGCTATAATTTTGAGGAGGTTTGCATGTCAGTAGTTTGTAAGCAACTAAGGTGCCTCATGTTCAGGTCTGAGCAGATAGGAATCCCCTTGCACTCGAGAGGGCCTGACCCAACGCCCGGTGGTGTTGGCAGGAAGACTCCTGCCGACTTCAGGGGGCGTTGGGTCGGGCCCTGCGCTCCCACCTTTGTTGTGCCTCACTTAAAATGGTGCTTTTTCAGTTGTCTGTCTTTTTCTTTCTGTTTTTTTTTTTTTTTTCTTTGTATGGTGCTGTGTATAACTTGAATATATTATGCACATATCCTACCCAATGGGTAGAACAAACAAACATACAAAAAAAAAAAAACAAATAGATGTTGTTAATACTGTAAGATAATGTATAGATGATACCGATTTTAACACAAAAAAAAAAATGGCATAGACTTTGTGAATGCCAACTTCTGCGCTTGGTCCTTTTTTGTAAGAAGATTTGCAAATGAATGCATACAAATGACGAAAAGTCTATGTATTTTATTTTCCTATTAAATATCAATATAATATCATAAGGGAAAAAGTTTGAACAAATCCTTTTTGACTAGCCTGTGTATAGCAATTGGTCGTTTGATGCATCTTTGCTGTGAAGATCTTTTTTTTTTTTTTAATGTGTCACTTTAAGAAAAAGGAAAAAAACTAAACAAACAAAACCTCCACAGCTTTAACCTTGCAGCTAGATGCTTCTCATATTGGTTGTTGCCTCGCTATTGCTGAGTTGGACCAGTATTAGCTACTACTTCTCCAGCAGATACATTATTTATTGTTATCCTTGATTGTGTTGTGTTGTGTTTTGTTTTTTTTTTTAACCTAGAAATGGGCTAAAACCTTTCAAATCTTTTTTTTTTGTCCGCGTCCTTGATGGGAAGTGAAGCTCAGACAAGTGGGAACTGATCCAAAACCACCCCTGCAAAATCAAAAAGTAGGCCAACAAAGAGATTTTTGTGAAAAATCCCAGCCCTGGTGTCCCGCCTCCCTGCCGGCACGTGTGGTCTGAAGGCCTGGCCTGTGGCTGAGCACCCCTGAGGACCTGGGTGGGCTTCAGGGGTGGCAGCCATAAGGGTAGATGTTGAAATCCGTGGTGTGCTATGAGTCGAGTGTGGGCTTTCAGGCCCCGCTGCCGTGCCGACCGCTGATGGTGGTGTCTGCGCCAGGGTCGGCGCGTAAGATGGCGGCAGAAAGGCCCAAAGCAGCTTGGTGCTGAGGGGGGACGTGGCACGGAGCTCGGCTCGACACCTGGCGTTTCTGCTGGTGTCCACACCACACCTACCGACCGGGTGGTGTCCTCACGGGCACCAGGCGTCCCCAGCGGCCTGGGTCCCCCCCACACGTCCCCGTGCCCCGCGCGCGCTCTCGGCGTGGCTTGTTCGGTGAAGCAAATACCTCAGGAAAACTAAACGTGAAGCTCTAGTTTAGAGAATTGCAGATACTCTACTTATTTTTCTAAGCTGTTTGTTCTAGCTATCCCGGGACGGTAGGCGATGTACAAGTTTGTCGGTCCGAGACAGACCGGTCCCCTCGCTGACGGATACCAACTGGTCTCTCGTAGATACCCCTGTCTGTATGTAGCTCTTTTATACTCGTCAGGCTTTAACCACAGATGTAACGTAGCGACGTGTCGGGATGTGGTCGAGACGGCGTTTTCGGTTGGTTTCCAGCTGGCTAGCTAAATGCTGTGCCAAAACTCAGGGGGTCTTGTCCAGGGCCCGGTGAAGCCCCTGGGGAGGCTTCCTGTGGTGCCGCTGGGCTTCGGGTCCGGTCCGCGGCTCGGAGCGCGGTCCTTGGCCAGCCCGTTGTGACTTCTCTGCTGACCTGAAACTCCAGCTACGTATTTGTCTGTAAATATCTTTTTTTAAAGCACTCACGGGCGTCCTGTGTCTGAATGTTGACCACGGTTGTTCTTCTTTTTGTTGTTGTTTTAAAGAAAAGTGTAAATTTTATGGCCAGTTCCACATCGTCAAGCCCATGCAGGTAGCTTGTCTCCATCCCTCTCTCTATCGAGCTGTTTTATCAGTAAGCATGTACCATAGTGAAGTGTGCATATTTTATGACTGTCATTTGTTAACTCATTTATTGTTTGCCAGGGCATAGAGCAGTTGTTCTGGAAGTATGTCTCGCCTGGCCATTTTCACGTTTCTGTTTGCACTGCAGAATAACTTCTGTGCATGAAGGAAGAAAAACAAACAAACAAAAAAAAACCCAGGCCTTGACTAGGAAGAATCTTTACAGAGCAAACCTCGTGCTGGAAGAACCTAGGGTATGATTTATCATAACAAAACTTGCATATTGAGTGGACCAAACATGAGCAGTGCCTCCTTCTGGAGGCACTGATTTGCTTTGAAGCTGCAGTGGAAAGAGCAGACTCCTGAGTGCATTCACAGCTGTGTTCACGCTTTGCCATTTACCACGAAGCACAGCAGGCAGCCAGGATTTTAAAGGAAGTATAGCAGAAGTTAGGACAGCCTCAGGCACCATAGGCCTGGACAGCAAAAATAATAATAATATCACCTTAATATCTTTTAACAACCTTTTTCTACTTACAGTACCAGGACTATGTAAACCTTGTTAGGGATTTTATCTTTGTATCGCTATCGACTGCCCAATGCTGCTGTGCTCAGAGCATTTCATGATGGTATGTACATCAGTCAGGCTGTTTTACTTAAAATTAACCATCAGCTGCCTGGCTTTAGAGTGTTGACCCTCTCTTTGTTGTTTCTTGCTAGTTACTTTACAGTGTAAAATGCTTTATTGCTGTATGGATTTTTTTTTTTCTGTATTTCCAACATTGTGGCTTTCAAGATCACGTTTTCAACATGTCTCTTATTTTTGTCCATTTTGTTTCAAGTTATTCTGAAATATGTACAGCACTATCAACAATATTTACTCTTTCTTTTAAATTTTATTGTTGTAAAAACAGAGCTATTAAAAACAGTAAGTCTTTTTACAACTGTATTGGGATTTCTCAATAGCTGTTCATGTGACGCTATGACAAACCTGGCTTGCTTTAATTTTTTACCTTCTTTTCCTTTTAACACAATTAATTTGTTGCTTATTTTCCACTGTAACTCCCAGTTATATACAGAAAAAGATTTCAACTGTTGTGTATCTGACTCTTTTAATTGAGCAAATGGTGATGTCCTAGTTTTTAGACCTAAGGTCTGTTATTGCAATACTTTTAAAGGAAGATGTTGCTCTAAGTGCTGTTGTTAGTTTTAAATACAGATTTTATGCTTGTTCTTAATACGCTGTGGTTAAACCATAGCAGAAAATTATTAAAAACCATGAAATGCATTTGTCTCCTGTTGAATTTATTTTCTCTTTGAAGTGGGGGAGGAAAAAAAAAAGGGGGGGGGAGGGAAACACTGGGGTGGCCCTCTGTAAAATGAATGCGTGTCCTTTTTCCTCCTTGGTTTTCTGCTGGCAGCCAGGTAGCTGATCATGAAAGAGTCAGGGGGTGGATTCAGCCCTTGAAACATATGGGAGGGCTCTGGGAAACGGGTGTTTGGTGAAGCCTTTACATCGGTGCTCTGATTTTTCAGTCTCTGGTGATTAGTGCAGGGATGGTTTGGGGTGTTTCTGCCCCACCGCTGTGCCGGAGGATGGTCCGTGAGAGGAGACAGCTCTGCCCATCACCCACTGTAGCAAACGGGAGACCCTTAATCAAATGAATCAAACTGAATGCCTTCAGTTCCTCCAGCCTGAGGACCCCACCTCAATCCCCCTTAAAGTACTGGGTGCTGGGGGCTGCCCTGGGCAGGTCAGTGCTGACCCACCAAGTGGTGGACAAGCCCCAGATCACTGAGTTGAAGAAATTGGTTCAAAAGCAAACATATAGGATGTAGTTCATGGGGAGACACCACCTGTTAAGAAAGCTAGCACATGCTTTGATAGTTAAAATGAGCAATTGTGGCATGGTATGGGGAAAGGAGGGAGAAGATAAAGGTTGTTAAAAAAATAAAATGGACAAAAGGGTCCTGTGAAAGACATTTATCTTTGGTAGTGCAAGGTAGATCAAAATATCCATGGCTGGTACCTGCCACTTTGCTACTAGAAAGCTTAACAAAATTGGGAAAGAACAAATATTTTCTATTTACGTGTAAGTATAAAGTGCTGCTCTATGTAGCATGATTATTAATGAAATCCTTCTCTCATGTTTCTTACACCTGTCTGTGCTTCCTGGAGCTGGATCTCTGCTGCTCAGATGGGATGCTCAGAGGGAGGCAGTGCTCCCAACCTGGGGCTCTCTCCCAGGCCTTGTCAGGAGGGAGAGTTCTGAGGGAGCCGCATGTTCCTCCTGGTCCATGTCTGACACTCTGCTTGTTATGACACTTTTGTTGTTGTTGCTGTTGTTTAAAAGTAACAATTATCTTTTCCTATAACCAGTTTGCTCTCCCTCATCTACAGCATTTTAATTCTTCCTTAGTACTGAGAAGTAGCTGATTCCTCGGCGCTTAGAAGCTGCAGCAAACCTCCAAGCTCCTGCTCCTCCTCTACTGTCTGAACCCTGAACTCCCTGGAAACTGCATTTTTGGAGACCGCTTTGATCTTTTACTTAATCTGGTTTTAATTGTATTTATATTTGTTTTATAATATGCCATTCTGTTTGATTGTGTTTTAATATCTTTGCCAATGGTTGCCGCTCAGAATGCAGCTATAAATGGGGATGTCTCATCTCAGTAGGGTTACTTTTTCCTGTTAAAAGATTAATACAGTGGCTGCTGAAGTCCTGTGAAACCTTCAGGTCTGGCTTCCAGGCTCCCCACAGTATTGCTTCTCATTACAAACACCCTGGTTTTACCACTCCAAACCCTTTTCTTCCCAAGACCACTCTATAATGAGACTTCATTGCTTAGACAAAAATTAATTAGGCTTCTCTCATTATCACTGTTTTGATCGGCTGTGCTTTAAATGAGCTCTAATTAAAATGCACATTTTAAAAACCTTACTGCTGAATCCTGCTCTCACAGCTCGCTTCTACCGCAGTGATGCCCTGCTTTTGTTCAGTTTGCATTGTGCTACTTTTACAGAACTCTAGCACCAAATATAAAAACTTCTCTGATTTTTTTTCCTTGTTTTCTGCATATTTTTTTTTTCCAGACTGACTGCCAAATGATTGCTCCTTAGAACGGGGGTTAGCACTGAGCTATCCAATTCTTTGACATGTGGTAAAAGTGATGAGTTAAGTTCCTTGGTACCCTGTATAGTCTGCAACATTAATTATCCCCAGAATGTTTCAAAACATTTGAGAAACTATGTGAGGAAGTTAAGTGCCTGTTTCTGCTTACCTTAGGTGATACAAATTGCCCTTAACGTATTATTTAAGTTGGAAGGACTGCGGGACCTGCCCCAGTAATGTCCATCACATGCTGAGCTGAAGGCAGCTTTGCTGAGGTGCCAGCACATTTACCGTCTGAACCTGGAGCAGGGCACGTTGAAGGCTCCCTGTCTTTCATAAAGGATGTAAAACAGAAGATCCTTTCTGTGAAGTACTTTGTGCCCTTCGATGGCTTCCACTGTGAAGGGTTTTGCAGAGAGGTGCTAACGCTTTTTTAAAGACGAGGAAACATGCATGGAGACGGATGCGCAGCTCTCAGTTCAGCATCATCTTCCCATCTCCAGTGTTCGCATCCCACTGATGCTGAGGCATTTGCTCCCTGCTCACTTCCAGCATTCACGTGCTGCTGTCCCACACAGTGCTATTTTTCTGCATTTTGCTGGTAGTTTCAGGGCTCTAAATAAGCCGTCAGAACATAGCCACCCCTTGTCTGGAGAAAGAAGGCTTTTTTTTTTTTTTTCATGGAGGCCAAAGTGCTACCCTTGAATCCCAGAAGCTCCCTTCAATGCCAACGCCAGATCGCTCCAGATTAATTTAACATTTGCAGACATTGCAGTGATTGACAGAGGAGTGGAGTGGAAAATTCCGGTTTAATCCTGCTCTGTGTGCCACAGACATGGGCTCAGACAGCTTGACCTACATTTAACCCTGGGCAGCAAGAAACTCTTGGGGAGGGGAGCGGGGAGGGGGGGGCAGTTTTCTTCTCAGGGCTCTGAGATTGTTATAGTTTACTGCATGTCCCTGTGTACATGCATACATGTGTAATTTATCTTACAAGTCTCTGAGCACTTCGTAGGCTGAGCCAAGCTTGCCCTGGCTGGCTTTACTCAGTGAAGAAGCCGTATGAGCCAAGCAGGAAAGTGCTAATGTGCTTGCGTAGCCTTTTCAGCAGGGTTTATGGCAACAGCGAAACGCACAGGAGCTCGTTATTTTCTGACAATGGGATTAGGAGTCGAAGTGCTTTCAGATTGGCTTATAGCTGTAAACTTTACAGCTCTCTGCAAAAGCTGATGAGCTGGTGGCTTTCACTAATGTTTTAGTCAGGAAAAGCCTAACAGGTAAGGCTTGACTGCCTGCTGCAAAGCCACTCGTCCCGTCGCTTTGGCCCTCTTCATGCTGCAAACGAAAGGCTGGGATAAATGGCCTAAAAGTGCAGCCCGTGTGTGCTTTGGGGAGCCGCTGGTGCAGTGTTAGATGCTGCAGTTTCTCAGCGAGGGGCACATGTTAAAAGCCGTACGGCTGAGTAATAACAGCGTTAGGTGCTCAGTGTGCCAGCCCTCTCACCTTTTGAAATTATGCCGCATATCCTACTGATACTATGCTTGCAGATAAGGGAATATGCGTGCTAGCTCTAGCCATGTGCTAGGCGAAATGGACGCGTTCATCTTGTTTAAAATTATGCTCTGTCAGGAGAGCGGTATTGGGCATGCTAAAATCACCGCCCAACAATAACACAGAAGAAATGAAGTGTCTCTCTGTGGTAAAACTGTACTCTTCCCAAGGTAACTGCCCAGCTGTAATTTAAGCACTGCTACTGCATTGACAGTTTTACTTTCTCTCTCTCCCTTTATTATTATTATTATTTTTTAAAGTAGATTGGCTGTAGGCAGGTGTCTACTCTGCAGATTGCATGCAAATTACTTGAATAGGGGACTTATGCACAACGGTCTGACAACAAAAAATATATTGTTAGTGGTGTTATGCAGAACCCAGAGTACACCTTCTATAACATACTGGTGTATTTCTATAATGTAGTACTGTGCTATCTTTATTTTCATGCCTTTTCCAGTCTAATCATTTCTTACGGGGTGCCTGGGCGAAGAGCAGGGCGGCAGCTGCAGATGCACGGCGGGCAGTGCTGGTTGCTGCCGGCTGTGGGCACGTCACAGCGCCTGCCCCTGAGCCTATGAGGCACGAAGTGCACGTGCAGCATTACTTCTCGTCTGTAACTTCGCTCGTCTTCTCTCAGATCGGGATCCTCGTGAGCCCTCAGGCAGCTCTTTCGGCATGTATGGGCATATCGATAAGAAGTGATTACAATAAGTACTCAGTAAACTCATAGCTCTTGCATCTGGAGCCTCACGGTTGCCCTGAATTTTGTCTCCACCAGCTCTGAGACCCCCTTTGGGAAGACATCAGTAGGCATGAGGGCCAGGTAAGGGCAGAGCTCGCAAGGAGCTTTGTGCTGTCTCTCTGTGCTGGCTTCACCATGCACTGGCGGCCCAGGGAGCGCCCTGAAGTTATTGGGACTGGATCAGGTCCACGACTGCTAAGCCAGCAGAACAATTTCGGTTCAGATTGGGTGTAGGATCACGACTGTTTCAGTTGGAGTTGATGCAGCAGCTCCAGTGGAAATTTTGTGACTTTATTCTGATTGCAAGAGACTGTAGGATCCTCGATTGGGCTGATGATCAGAAGGACAGGGAATGTCTGACTCCGCAGTGAGTCAGTGCGCCAATGGAGATGACTCAAAAATTGCAGCATGTTTGAGCAACGTGAGCTCATACATACACACACGTCAGGAAGCTGCGGCATGTGTAGTCTGGTACTAAGCGTCCCAAACTTGGATTTAGCACATTGGTGACCCAACGTTATCAAGACAGTGTCTGGCAGCAGCCCAACCCTTCAGCTACTCCAGCACAAAGCCTCCTAACACACGAACGTTGCCACACAGCTCAGGAGTTGCTCTTAGGGGATGCTGAAGCCCAGAGGTTGCCAGCAGCAGCCCTTGCTGTCTCCCCGAGCCCATCCATGTGCTGCTTTGTCAGGGAGAGCTGGGACACAGGAAATTGTGTGAACATCTCTTCCCATATATTTTCCTGTTCTTTAAGGGGCTTCTTTAAGGATTCAGGGCTTCACTTTTAGAAATGGACACTGTCACCACCACCGTTACCCCAAGTTACCTGAGGTAGGTTCTCCTCCAGTGGTGCTTTAGCCTCTTTCTGGCCACCTGGCA